AAAAACAGTTGGGCGACTTCTCAAGATTTCCCGCAGGGTCCTGAGCAAGCACGACCATGTTCATACCTTTCCCGCCTGAAAGCGATGCTAAAAGGCTTCGGGCCCACAGGGTGAGGGGGTGTCCTTACACTCCGGACCGTTAACCCGGGAGGAAAGCGACCGATCTCGGCGCCACCCGGTCCCGGGGCCCGCCCCCCAGCCGCAGAAACTCACCGTCCCACTCTCCCGCGCCGTGCGGGACCCAGCCCCACGCTCTCCCAGGCCCTGATCCCTAAGACTTCACAAAGGCCAAGACTCCGCGTGGCCAGGCCCGCCTCCCGCACACCCGCCCCGCCCCGCCCCGCCCCTCCGTGCCACCCGGCCCCGCGGCCCACCGCCCGGGAGAGTTCAGGGCGCACCCTCGCGCAGGCCGCAGCGCCCGCCCGGCCCGCGGGGCGCCCTTCGCGCCCAGCACCTACCTATGGCGCCCGCGGCCTGCCCGAGCTGCCCGCAGCCCGACCACAATAGAGAGACCCTCACGGCCCGGCCGCCGCCGCCGCCAACCAGAAAGGCCACCCAGGCTCTCCCGGGTCGGCGGGACCCGCCTGCCGCGCGGGCGAGCGGAGGGCGGGCCCTGGCGGTGCGCGGCCAATCTCCGGGCACGGCCGCCCCGCATTGGGGAATCCGCGGAGCGGGCTGCGGAGGCAGCCAATCGGCGGCGTAGGGCTCTCGAGGCCTCGGCGCGCAGCCCAATAGCGCAGCTGCGTGGGCGGGATCAGAAACTGAGGCCGCGGCCGCGCTAACCGTCGCAGCCCGGGCGGGGCTTGCCGCGAGGAGGGCGAGCGCCGCGAGGAGCGCCGGGAACGGGGCGCGCGGGGAACGCCGGGAACTAAAGAGTAGCGCGGGGAACGCCGGGAATGGGGGCTTGGGGCGGGTTAGGGGGATGCCGGGAATTCGGGGGCTCGGGAACGCCGGGAGTTGAGGGCGCTTGGATGGTCTCAGGGCTCCGTCTGTCTTCAGTCTAGGCAGTGTGGACAAGAGTGTCCACACAGAAATTTTCCAGTTAAAATCATTAAATGTAACCATTAGGGATAAAAGGACAAAGTATCCTCAATTGTCTGGCAGTTTTCCATTTACCGATACTGTATCAGGAGCCTCAAGAAAGGGAGGAAACATTATAGGAAATGAAAGGACTGTTCTTCCTTAGCTAGACCAGAGTTCCAGTAAATACTTGTAGAAGGAATGATGGAAATACAAAGTATCCCACTTGGCAGACAGCACTTTAACAGCTTCAGACAAAATTCATGGATGCTAAAAGAAAAAAAAAAAAAAAAAAAAAAAAAAGGTGGGCAAGCCTTGACTGATTTGGCTCAGTAGATAGAGCATCGGGCCAGGGACTGAAAGGTCTGGGGTTTGATTCTGGTGGAGTGCATGTACCTTGGTTTACAGGCTGGATCCCCAGTAGGCAGCTGATTGATGTTTCTCTCTCTTTGATGTTTCTTACTATCCCTCTAACTGTTTTCCCAACCACACTGTATCACAATTTAGCTGTTTTGCACTGAATCAAGTTTCCTTATCCTCACACCCCAAATTGGGAATTCCTGTTGGCATTGAATTAGCCCTAACTGGTTTGCCTCAGTGGATAGAGCATCGGCCTGTGGACTGAAAGGTCCCAGGTTCAATTCCGGTAAATGGCATGTACCTTGGTTGTGGGCACATCCCCAGTAAAGGGTGTGCAAGAGGAAGCTGATAGATGTTTCTCTCTCATTGATGTTTCTAACTATCCTCCCTTCCTCTCTGTAAAAAGACAATAAAATACATTTTTTTTTTTAAACGGGGGCGGCGGGGGGGGAGAGATGGGGTGTCATGGGCAGTCTCTGCAAACCTACCAGGACAAAACTGAAGGTCAGGCTGCATTCCTGAGCTGGCCATGCTTGTTCATAGACTTGCCTCTGCATCAGTCAGCTCCACACCTCTAGCCTCCATGTGGCTGTCTTGGAGCCAGAGAGTAGGAGAAGCTCATCTGGGGGGAAAAAAAGGGGGGGCATCTGAGAAAGGGATGAATTCCCCCTTCACCCAGGAGAAGAAGACCCCTGTTGGGGAACTCAGGGGCCAAATGCATCTGGTGGCAAGCAGAGAGGACTGGCCTAGCCATGCCAACATCAGGCCCAGGACTTCCTGGATGGCATGCCAAAAGTGCTTCTAGAGGGCATCAGATTCCTATGGTCCTTGTAGCCTTCTAACAGTCTAGGGGCCTCACTAAAAGGCACTCAATAAATGGAGCCTTGAGCAACATCAGCCCTATATCCTCGATTTGAGGCCTTGGAACATAGCAGTAGGCAAGAGAGGAAAGGTCCCAACTTCCTGGAGCTCTACTGACAGGGAAACACATAAACAATTGAAACACATAGTATGTCAGACCGGGCTTGCTGATACAGAGAAAGACAGAGCAGGGAACAAGGCAGAGAAAATGGCCAATTTAGATGGGATGCCCCTCCAAAAAAACACGTTAGCAAAGGTCTGCAGACGGGGATAGAGGGTGCAGTTGGGATATTTGGAAGAGGAATTATTTAGGTAGAGGAGGCAGTGAATGCAAAGGCCCGGCGGCAAGAGCTGTGCAGGAAATGAGCCAATAGCAGTGGCAGGGGCTTCCGTGAGGGGAAGGTGGGAGGGGTGCCAGCAGCGGGATGGGACCAGTGTGGGAGGACACTGTGGGTCTACAGAGGCAGGCACACACCTTGTTCTCTTTATGCTGTTTCCTAGCCTCATGGCTCCGTCTCCCATTTGCTCTGGGGACTGAGGGACTGTCATATCTAAGCCTCGGTTGTCTCATCTGTCAAGTGAAGGTCACAATATATTATTTTGCTAGGACTGCCATGACAAAGCACCACAAACGAGTGGCTTCAACAGCAGAAATGTATACTCTCACGGTACTGGAGGCCTGAAGTCTAAGATCAGGATGACAGCAGGGGGCCACACGCCCTCGAATGGTGCCAGGAAAGGGACTGTTCCAGGCCTTTCTCCCAGCTTCTGGCAATTTCTTGGTGTGTGGCAGCATAGTCATTGTCTTCATAGGGCATTCTCCTGTGTGCATGTCCAAATTTCCCCTTTTTTTAATAAGGACATCAGTCATACTTGCTTAGGGCCCACCTTCATGGCCTCACTTTATCTTGATTGCCTCTAATACGGTCCCATTCTGAGGTCCTGGGATCAGGCTTACAGCATATCTTTTGGGGGTACAAAATTCAACCCCTGCCAAAACCGGTTTCGCTCAATGGATAGAGCATCGGTCTGCAGACTGAAGGGTCCCAGGTTCGATCCCTGTCAAGGGCACGTACGTTGGTTGCGGGCACATCCCCAGTAGGTGGCGTGCAAGAGGCAGCTGGTCAATGTTTCTCTCTCATAGATGTTTCTAGCTCTCTATCCTTCTCCTTTCCTCTCTGTAAAAAAATCAATAAAATATATATTTTTAAAAATCAACCCCTAACAATCACAGAATTACACCTTTAGCTGCCTCTTCCTCTGGGGACCCAGGCTATTGGGCAGCCCTGGGCAGGCTAGACACCGAGGAGTCCATGACACAGGTGGGAAAGCATTCCCTTGATGCCCACCCCTGGGGCAGAGGTGAATACCTTTGGAGACTCTTCAGTGGCTCTGCACCCAGCCCAGTGGTGCCCCACGAGGGTGAGCATGCCTGGCTAGGGTAGATGCTGGTGTGGGCACTGGCCCCCGCTGTGGGGCAGCCTGCTGAGGCAGAGAGGGGCTGTCGACACTAGCAGTGCCTGAGCCAGAAGCCTGGCTCATCTGGCTCAGCCAGCCACTGCAGGGACTTGGGGCCAGTTTCCTCTTGGGCCTGGGAACATGGGGCTGTGTCCCCTACGCAAACCCCCTCCTGCTCAAGCACTTTTCTTCTCAGTTCCCAGTGAGCCAAGGAGGGCATTCAGACCCCTGAGGGCTGAGGAAGGGATGAGCAGCACAGTCGGGCCTGATGCACCCCCATAAGCTCTCATTTCTCTGCGAAGGCCAAGTTGGGGGTCGGCTACGGAGGCAGGGGGAAGCCTGGGTCCTGGCATTGGACATGTGGGACCCCCTTGTGCTTGGCCCCAGATGGGGACAGGAACTTCTGAGTGCTTGCCCAAAACCCTGGTCCTGGGGCTGAGACAGACTCCATTCCCCTCTTACCTTGAAACCCACTCCACAGTCCAGACCAAGTGCAGGTCTGACCACACTGCTCCCTCAGGGGGTCCTCAGGGGCTCCCCACGGAACCTGGATAAATCCCTGGCTCCTCGGCCTAGCTCAGGAGGCCCTGTCACTGGCACCTACTATATCCCATATACACAGGCCCTCTCACACCCCGGCATCAGCCAAAGGACCTGCACTGTGCTCTCCTCACCATGAGCAAAGGAGAAAGTGGGAAGAGCCCTGGACTAGCATCTATGCCGTCGGAGTGCCTGCAGGCTGGAGAGCAGCCACCAACCCCTCGCATAAAACGGCTCCATTTGTCCCCCTCACACAAGTGAAGCACGCGGAATGCATGGACTCACCAGAGCCTCAGAGTTTTATTGTCAACATCTCACAGTCTAGTACAGGTTCCTGTGAAGTTTGATTTGCCTAAGGAGGAGGGATGGGCCGGAGCTGGCTGTGTCCTCTCGCTGAGATGGGCCCGCCCAGAACCCACGACCAGTGGGCAGGCAGAGCCTGACAGGCTGCTGGGTGCCCAGCACACACAGGACTCCAGTCACAGGACAGTCTCATGCACACGGGGCCACTGGATCCACCAACCAGACTGTGCTTCTGTTATGAGAGGAGGTTTTCCTTGGTTCTTATCCAGGACACAGGACCCAGGACCCAGGTCTGAAGACTCCAAGGACATGAGCACTTGTGAGCTCAGTGCTAAGAAGGTTCTGCTGGACCTGAAAATGCCTGTTTGTCCTCCAAGAGCAGGTCTGGTTGCTGGGAACTGGACCATGTCCAGGAGAGAAGGGGACACTTCTAGACAAAGGTCTACTACTCTTGTTTGGATCAAAGCCCAAGACCCACTGGCCAGAAGTGAGTGTGGGTGAGAGAGGCACACCTCTGCCTGTCGTCTGGCACAGGTACGTGTGTGTGTGTGTATGCCTGGGAGCGTGGTGTGTGTGTGAGTGTGTGTGTGTGTGTGTGTGTGTGTGTGTTCCAGTATGTGTGCACACATCTATTGCCTGTGCCTGTGATTGTGTGTGCCTGTGTGTGTGTGTGTGTGTATGCCCCATGGGTGTACACGTGTGCCTGTACACCTGTAGGCATGTATGTAAGCATGTGCCTTGTGTGGGTGTCTCTATGCGTGGGGAGGGGGCAGGGCCAGGTGCATTCACGCATGCACGGCACACCTGGATCTGCCCCTGACCTGGCTGTGGGACTCTTGCCACTCCCTCTGGTGTAAGGATGGATTTCGAGCTGGATACGGGGACACAGACAGATCACACACAAATCAGAGGGCCCTGGTCCTGAGGGATGCTGGCCACACAGTCACACACAGGCAGTGCATGTGTTGTGGAAGGTTCCCATCCGGTCCTCAAGGCAGGGCCTTACAGGAGCCCACTGGCTGCACTCAGGGGTCGGTCTTAGCTCTGCAGCCTAAACTCGTGGGTCCTGGTCTCCCAGCGGGAAGGGTCTTTGTCTAGCATGCTGCGCTCTGTGAAGGTCACGTGCCCATCCGCGTCCACGAGGATGACCGTGTTGGTTCTGAAAGAGAGCACAGGGCCCACGTTCAGCCCACTGCCCGCAGCCCCTGCCCACCTGTCAGAGCCCCAACTGGGGTCAGCTCTGAGGCAGAAGGGGCAAGTCCACCACGCCTGGGGTCTGTGCTGGGCACTCAGCACGGCCAGGGGCAGGTCACCAATGAGCAGCAGCCTAGGGAAGTAGAGTGACCCCCTGGGGTGGCTGGGCACTGAGCCTGGTGGGGCCTGGAGCTCCCTGGCTGAGCCCCCAGGACAAAGCTTGATGACTCCTGGTGCCTCCACGCTGACACACCCCCGGCCTTCCCTGCCCACCCTCTGTGGTACAAGTTCCAACCATCCACCGCTCTCACCAGGGTGAGCCCTGGCTCTCTGGCAAAATGGCCCAGCACGTCTTTGGGCATTTGGCCACACTCAGCTCTTCCAAGCGGTCAATCTGTCAACCATTTGGGGACCAGGCCTGTTCACCTAGGAAACTCCTCTATGCCCTCCCTCGCCTCCCCCACCGCCCTGCTCCAAATGCTCAATGCACCTCTCCTCCTGCCAGGCCCTCCCCACAGTCAAGGAGGGACCCAGCAGCCATGCAAACAGACAGGGAGTAAACCTGGCATTCTGCCTCACATACCAAGTACACATGAGCACATGGTTTAGTAAATAATAATAGTAATAATAATAATAATAATAATAATAATAAATAATAAGTCTAGGATGGAGGAGGGCTTGAGGGAAATATGCCCCTGCCCAAGGAAAAAGCAGCCCAGCCAGAAAGACTGCCATTCAGGTGTGCAACCCTCCTGGGCCCTGGGAGCTTAAGGGCCAGGCATTCACACCATCCACCCCCCGCAGCCAGAGGGCTTGGGACGGTCATTTCCTGGGGGACAGAGACTCAGAGGGGCCTGCCTCTCTCTCGGCAAGCTGGTCACCAGGACTTCACATGCCCATTTCCCTGCCTGACGCCCTCAGCACCAGCCGAGCCTCAGCCATGTCACCGTAGCAAGGTTGGCACACATCCATCCTCCTGGGGAGGCAGCAATAACCAACCCTCCCGCCTGCGGGGAAAGCAGGGGCTCGGCTCACTCAACCTCAAACCTGAATCCAAAAACCAGGCGTATGTGGGACAGCACCCTGACATTAGTCAGTAGTACTGGTCGCGGCCTGAACGCCTCTTCCCTGAGTCCTTGGTAGGCATGGGGCCCCCAAGGGCACGGCCCATCCACCACAGTCACTGCAGGTCCCCGGCCTGGCACAAGGCGGGTGCCCCTGGGGCCTGATGCCAGCTGAGCCTCGGTAGATGTGGCTCGCACAGGAGGATGTGCTCCATCTGCAGGCCGGGGGGCCAGGCACGTGGCAGCAGCACTCCTAACGCATCTGGCTGGACCCCAACCTCCCCTCCCCTGTGCATGCCAGCCACCTCTAAGTACAGCACGTGGGCTGCCCTCTGATGATGGAACCACGTGGGCAGGCCAGGACTCCCAGCCTCACACCCAGGAGGGAGGAAGACAAGAAAAGAATTCAGCTGAAACCAGTTTTGCTCAGTGGGTAGAGCATCGGCCTGCAGACTGAAAGGTCCCAGGTTCAATTCCGGTCAAGGGCATGTATCTTGGTTGTGGGCACATCCCCAGTAAGGGATGTGAAGGAGGCAGCTGATCGGTGTTTCTCTCTCATCGATGTTTCTAGCTCTCTCTCTCTCTCTATCCCACTCCCTTCCTGTCTGTAAAAAATCAATAAAATATATTAAAGAAAAAAAAAGAAAAAGAAAGGAATTCAGATGCCCACGCCAACAGCTTCTCCCCCCTGGACATTATCATCTTGCGGCCGAGACCTTTCCACCTTTCCTGGTATACGGCAGCATCCCAGGCTGAGGTGACCGAATCCCGACCCTGGTCACGCAAAGAACATACAAGGCCCAGGGACACAGGCAAGTGAAGGGGAGAGCCAGACAGTGGGACCTCCGGGCTGACAGGGATCTGCCCAATGCCATGCTGGCCCCCTGGTGGCTGTGGAAGAGGGTAGGGGGCAGCCCAGGACCCCCGCTTAGGAAGCCATGGCAGCCTCAGCGGCCTTGTGCCTGGTCTGCAGCACCCCTGGGAGCTGGCATCTGCTCACCCCACAGCCCCCCGAGCTGAAATGGCACCCACTTCTAGATCAGGCAGAGGCTCTGGGGTCCACAGGGCTCGGGTAAGGCCAGGCTCCTGGTGAGACAGGACCAGACGCGCCCAGCAGCCCGCCGTACCTGGTGCCGTAGCCTGGGCAGCGCACGCACACGGCCGCGTACTTGCTCAGAATGGGCTGCACATACTCCCTGCCCTGGTCCTCGATGGCCGGGTCTGGCAACTGCCTGGAAGGACAAAGGAGGGCTCACATCCCCCGCCTCCCGCCCCCGCTGCCCGCTGCCCGCCCGCAGCCTGTAGTGCCCGAGGAGCTCGCCAGCCTTGGGAGTCTATTTTGTGCACTTTTCTGCTCAAAGGCTCAGATCGTGGTCAAGACTTAGGCCGAAACCGGTTTGGCTCAGTGGATAGAGCGTCAGCCTGCGGACTGATTCCGGACAAGGGCATGTACCTTGGTTGCGAGCACGTCCCCAGTAGGGGGTGTGCAAGAGGTAGCTGGTCGGTGATTCTCTCTCATTGATGTTTCTAACTCTCTATCCCTCTCTCTTGCTCTCTGTAAAAAATCAATAATATATATATATATATATATATATATATATATATATATATATATATATATATTTTTTTTTTTTTTTTTTTTTTTTTTTTTAAGACTTTCACTTAGGACTCCGTGGCTGGGCCTAGGTGACCGGACAGCGGTTACTGGGACAGCGCCCCCTGCCAGGGCCACCAGCAGCTTTCCCAGGACCCAGGACCCAGGACCCAAGACTCTGAGGACATGAGAACTCGTGAGCTCAGTGCTAGGCAGGCTCTGCTGGACCTGAAAATGCCTGGGGAATGAAACCTGATTCATGCTACAGGGTCCTCTGCAGGGGAACAGAACCCATTCTGGGAACAAGCTTGCCTCCTGCTCTCCGTGGGGCCTGGGCCAGTGGGGGCACTGCGGGCAGGGGCCAGGCTGAGAGATGCAGTCACCTGGCCACATGTGCTCCTGCTTATGTCAAGAGGTGCCCTTATGGGCATCTCTCCACATGACAGGAACCCACGCAAGCCCTGCAGCTTGCTGGCCACCACAGCTATCAATAAAAGCAGCCAGGGCCGCCAAAACCGGTTTGGCTCAGTGGATAGAGAGCGTCGGCCTGCAGACTGAAGGGCCCCAGGTTCGATTCCAGTCAAGGGCATGTACCTTGGTTGCGGGCACATCCCCAGTAGGGGGTGTGCAAGAGGCAGCTGATTGATGATTCTCTCTCATCGATGTTTCTAGCTCTCTATCCCTCTCTCTTCCTTTCTGTAAAAAATCAATAAAATATATTTTAAAAAAAAAGGCAGCCAGGGCCTGTCATGAGCCGCAGGGATGACAGGCAGTGACCAGGCCGGCCCAGGCAGGGCTTCCCCGAGGGGTTGGCTGGGCTGAGGCTGTGCCCTGGTTCATGGCTCAAAGAGGGGAGGGAGGGGGAGCCGGGGCAGGAAGGGGCTGTCGGGGAGAGGAGTGAGAGGCAGGCTGTGGGCGGCTCTTCTCAGAGGCCATGGCATCTGGGCAGGACGCTGGCCCGGCCTGAGGGGGGTAGAGGGGGGATGTGCGGACTGTGCTGCTGTGTGGGAGGGAGGTAGCGTGGCCAGCACCTTGACATACTCCCCCTACCCCTCCCTGGGATGCTGAAATGTGCCGTTCCATGCAGAGACCTCTCAGGGGCCTCAGGGGAGTTGGGCCGGAGACAGCTTCTCCCCAGGTGCTATCTGGGCGGGCCTCAGCTCCCGTGTGCAAACAGAGGGGAGCCTCCAGCTCCCGGGAGCACCACCCAAGCCCACATCAAGCTCTGAAAGCACCGAGCTTCCCAGCACCCTAGCCCACGACGGCCCCATCTCCCACCCTCAAAGGTCCCCGTCGGAAACCTTACCCGTCCACAGGGACGGGGGGGGGGGGGGGGGGGGTAGTGTGTCAGCATATCCGTCGGGTTCTCCTTCAGCTGAGGAGCTGGCCCGCGTCACCTCCACGGGCCTCACCGGGCAGCAGAGACCGCCTGCCTCTCTGCCCCAGGGCCGGGGCGATGGGGAGACACTCCGCTCACCCCAGCAGGACCCACCCACTCACGCCTCCTCGTTGTTGAGCACGTCCAGAAGCTGGGCCACGAGGGCATCCTTAGGGAGTGCCTGGCTCCGCTCCACAGCCTCCAGGAAGAGCCGCTTCCCGAAGCACAGCTTCCTCCAAGGCGTGTCCAGTAGCGCGTTGCTCAGCCCGTAGGTCCCTGGGGGGAGGCATCAGTCCACCAGTGCAAAGGGCCCGCGGTCTGAATTTAGGGTAAGCTCCCGCCCACCTACCCAGCACCAGGCAAGGAGCCAGGATACAGCTAGGGATGGGGGTGGGCACTGAAGCCAGGCCACCCCACACGCCAGCTTCTTCTCTATGGGTATTCCCAACCATCTGCATGGCAAGAGGTGGAAAACCAACATGGTAGGGCACCAGTAGGAGACTGCAAGGTACAGAGGCCAAATGGCCTTGACAACGAGGAATGAACAACCAGAAATCCAGCTGGGCCACGGAAAGGGGGAACCACCTCCCCATCTCACTCTCGTCCCTCCCTAAGCTAGGAAAAGGCTTCCATGTGTGGGTCCACCTGTGAACAGGTCAACCAGAGGCCAGGAGGGCGACGGCCCCAAATGGGTCCTGGCTTAGATCAGCAGGTAGAGAACCCACCACATCACGACAGCTCCACCTGGTGGGCACAGGCAGGGCATCCTCTGTTCTACTTGCTGGCAGGGACCCTGGCTGGGGAGCCTTAAGGTCTTGACACAAGTTTCTCAGAACAAGTTCTAGGTGGTTAATAGAAGGCATCATACACACACACACATACACACACACACACACAGGGTTTCTCCTGTTGAGGGAGAAAGAGAGAGAGAGAGAGAGAGAGAGAGAGAGAGAGAGAGAGAGAGAGAGAGAGAGAAAGAAATGGCCTTGAGGTGGAGAGGCTACAGCAGGTAGCAGGGGTAGTAGAGCTCAGAGTCATGCATCCTGAAAGATACGCTGAGGACGGGGAGTCACCACCCTCTCCAGCTACCAGACTTTCCAGGCAAGATCTTGACCAACTATGACATGACGTACCTAGGCCATGTTTTAGCAACTTCCAAGGAAGACAGCCCTGGCTTCGCCGGGCCCCCATAGCCATGCCACCAGCCAAGAGAACCACTGTGCTTTATCTATCCAGAGTGACGGGAAAGGCCCCTCATCCATGGTACGGGCATCTGGGCAGCCACATGCAGAGAAGCGAATGGAACCCCTTCCTCGCACCATATACAAAAATCAATTCAAAAGGTCCCAAAGACCTAAATGTAAAAGCTGAAACTCTTAGAAGAAAGAATAGGGGAAAAGCTACACAACCTTAGATGAGGCAATGATTTCCTAGCTATGATACCAAAAGCGTGCGCGCATGTGCGCGCGTGTGCGCACACACACACACACACACACACACAAATTTAAAAAAAATATATATATATATACATATATATATATAATGAACATCATCAATTTACAATAATGCACTTCAAAACTTTCTTGATCAACAAGAAAGTAAAAAGAAAATTCACAGAAGGGTAGACAATTTTTATAAATTATATATCTGATAAGGGACTAGAAGCTACAATATATAATGAACTTCAACTTAATAATAAAAACACAAACAATCCAATTCAAGATCTGAATAGACATGTCTTCAAAGAAGATATAAAAATGACTATCCAGCACACAAAAAGTTGCTCAATATCATTAGCCAACAGGAACATGCAAATCAAAACCACACTGAGATACCACTTCACACACACAAACAGACAATGACAACTTTTGGCCAGGCTGTGAAGAACCCAGAACTTTGTATACTGTTGGGAATGTCAAATGGTGTAGCTGCTTTGGAAAACAGTTGGCAGTTTCTCAAAAGAGTAAATAGTTGCTTTATAATCCAGCAATTCCACTCCTAAGTATATACCCAAGAGAAATAGAAAACATGTGTCCACACAAAAACTTGTAACAAATGTTCCTAGCTGCATTATCCACAATAGCCAAAAGGTAGAAAAATATAAAAGACCCAAAAGCCCATCAAGGGTTGAAGAGAGAAACAAAATGTAGAATATACATGCAATGGAATATAACACAGCAAGAAGAAGGAATGAAACTTGTTTCATGCTACAACATGGATGAACCTTGAAAGCATGCTAAATGAGAACAGGAAAAGCCATGGAGACAGGAAGTAGATTGGTGGTTGCCAGGGGCTGGGGAAGAGGAGGAAGGGAGTGACTACTAATGGGTCCAGTTTCATTTTCAGATGAAAATGTTGAATTGCCAAAACTGGTTTGGCTCAGTGGATAGAGCGTCGGCCTGCGGACTGAAGGGCCCCAGGTTTGATTCCGGTCAAGGCATGTACCTTGGTTGAGGGAACGTCCCCAGTAGGGGGTGTGCAAGAGGCAGCTGATCGATGATTCTCTCTCATTGATTTTTCTAACTCTCTATCCCTTTCTCTCCCTCTCTGAAAAAATCAATAAAATATTTAAAAAATAAATAAAAGTACAGAGGTGTCCCCACAGGAGCAGCGTCCACCCTGCCACCACCCGCCAGGGCAGGCAAGCTCACCTGGCGCCAGGACGATGGGTTCGGGGTCCCCCTGGTTTCCGTAGTAGCAGAAGACATCTCCCTTCTCGGTGCTGTCAACAGGAGGGCGGAGAGGGTCGCAGGGGGGCCACTCGCTGCCTGGCCCTCTCCACAGCCCTATCCCCGTGGGGGCCCAGAGTGCTCCAGGACCACTGCCGGCTGTGCTTGCACCTTCCTTCTCCAGCAGGGGGCACCCCTGCCTCCCGGAAAGCAGTGCAAGTAAGGCATGGTCCCAAAAGAGGGGGCTCCTCAGCCACAGGCACAGGGAGAGGACCCAGGGCCGAGGGGCAGGTGTCCGGCCGGGGCGTGGCCTGCACCAAGAGAACCCTGCGGTCATGCTCCGGTTCCCCGGTGGCAGGAGCCAACAGCCCTCACCCCGTCACAGCAACCCCCTTTGCTTCCCAAGTCCCCACAGCATTGGGTTTGAGAGGGGCCCAGCCCTCAGGACGCTCACCAAGCCACTAATAGAGGCTGCCAGCAGGGCAAGCACCCTGCTCCCTGCTGAGTCCGGTCCCAATCCTGTGGAGGCACTCAGCGGGCTGCCCCCCCCCCCAAACTTCCCCCACTTTCCCCCCCTCCCGCAGCAGGCTCACCTCAGGTCAGCGGCTAAGAGGTTGAAGCCGTTGTACAGGTGACCCTCTGTGGAGACCTTCTTCAAGTAGGAAAAGCTGTCCATGTCTGTGGTCAGGAAGTGGGTCACCAGCTCACCTGTGAGCAGGGAACAGCTGTGGCTGAGGCAGAAGGCTCAGCCCCCTCCCTGGGGGGGGGGGGGGGGATGGCCCCGCCTGGGCTGGCTACACCCACAGCCAAGGAGGTGAACATAGAGGACTCTGCTTTTATTGGTTAAAAAAAAAAAAAATAGTTTGCAGAAACTGGTTTGGCTCAGTGGATAGAGCGTCGGCCTGCAGACTAAAAGATCCCGGGTTTGATTCTGGTCAAGGGCATGTACCTTGGTTGCAGGCACATCCCCAGTAGGGTGTGTGCAAGAGGCAGCTGACCGATGTTTCTCTCTCATCGATGTTTCTAACTCTCTATCCCTCTCTCTTCCTCTGTGTAAAAAATCAATAAAATATATATATTTAAAAAAAAAAAAAAAGTTTTCCTCCATTATGCCCCCATATGGAAGTCCAGCATGAGGGGGAAGGTCTTTAGTAGGGAGGGCATGTGTCCCTGGAACTATCCTCCCACAGGCATCTGCTCTGCAAACATTGAACAGGTGGGGACAATGACACACAGCCGGAGTGGCACACGGCCTGGGGATGAGTCTGAGGCGCGTTCCCCGAGAGAGGTGAAAGGTCAGTGTCATGGGTGTCATGTGGGCCAGACTAAGGGTGGTGCCCACAGTGACTGCCACCCAGTGGATTACCGGACCCAGGAAACGTGCCCTCTTCCCCATTCTAGCTCCTCCTCCTCCTCCTCCTGTCTCTGCACATGCCCAAGGAAGCCCCCATCCCAGGCCCACCCCCCAGGGCCAGCCCCTGCTCCCCTAAGCTAGCCCCCAGCCCCCAGCCCCCGCCCCCTGCCCCAGCCCCATGGTACCTCGGCCCCTGGCATCTGGGTCCTGCCGCGGCTGCAGGTAGTTGGTGAGTGCTGCCAGCTTCCCGCGAGTGCTGATGCCCAGCCACGTGCCTCCTTCCTTGCCTTCCACCATGTCGAGCCCTGGACAGACGCCAGCATCACCACCAGCCGTACCCACACTCTCCCTGCGTCCTGGCAGTCAGACCTCACCCCCCGGCCCTGGATCCGGGGACGTGACTCCACAGGGCGGGGCAGCAGGACACTGGGAAGATGCCCTCACCATGCTCCGCCCCTTGGGCTAACTGATGCCAACAGCATCCTGGAGCTTGGGTTGGCACTGGGCTGGGAGCAGAGCCCCAGCTCCATCACAGAACCCCATCCTGCATCCGGTGCCAGGGTGTCTGGCTGTCCTCCTCTGGCAGAGAGCACAGGACCCTCACCGTGAGGAGCCAGGTGCACAGCCAGGCCTGCAGTGTACCCACCCGCCGCCTGTGCCACTGACTTTGGTGTGTTTGCCCCTAAGCTGGCGCAGCAGCCCTGGGCTCACCCGCACTGTGCTGCAGCTAGGTCACCCTTCCCCTGGGCAGGCGCACCTTATCAGCAGGCCAGGGCCCCCTCCAAATCACTACAACGGAGGAACAATTTGCAGCGGCTGGAGCGTCCCAGCCAGGACTGGCACAGGGGCAGGGTGCTGGCCAGGGTGGCCCAGGCAGTCTAACCTTTCATCCAAACCTCATCTGCAGAAATCCTTGAGAGGTGCCTCCCGCCCCTCTACCCTAAGGCAACAGCCCCTCATCCCACTCAGCCTGACAAGCCCCCCTCAACACACACACGCACACACACACACACACACACACGCTTCAGCCTCCCTGTGTGCAGCAGCGACACACACAGCCTGCCCTATCCCATAACCCCTTCTGTTCCATGCTAGCCCAAGATGGCCGCGACCCAGCCTCTCCTCCCTCTTGCACTCAGTCATCCTGAGTCCCCACGCACAGCCTCTCGGCAGCTTTCCCCACCACCTCTGAGACCTCCCGCCCTGGACAGCACCCTGCCCTGGTCCCCCCCACCCCCACTCCTGTCCTCCTGTCACACCGCACCAGGATGGTCTAGCAGTGCTTCCTTCCCACCACCGCACAGCTGAGCTTTTAGACGTTCAGAGCACACGCTGCCTCCCTGGGCCCAGGAGGCCACCTGCCCAGCACACTGGGCACCCTGTCAACTCTGCCAGGCTCCCCGGTACTTGCCTGGCGCCTGGCTCCCAGGCAGAGGGACTCCTGACCTAGCCAACACCTGTCTGCATGCCCTCTAAGTCAACCCCTGCCCACCCCATGGGCAGGAACTGCTCCCTGTCCAAGTGGCTAAGGGAGGCTGTTGGCTGGGTGGGCGGAGGACCTGGCTGTCACCTTCATTTCTCCTCCACGGGGACCCCTCATGAGGCTCCCACCCAAAGGTGCCCCAACCAAACCTCTGCTCCCCAAATTCAGACCAGCTCTCACTGGAACAAGGGTGCTTGGATGTAAACAGAAACGTGTTGCAGAGATAAGCACACGTGTGTGTGCACATATACGTGCACACACGCACACACACAACTATGATACTGCACAGAGGGACAGAGGGTGGACTTACACCTCATACCAATACAACTGCATGTCCACGGGGAACATGTGGATCCAAATAAGACCAATCGATCCTTCCAGCTACTTCTTCTGGGGATCCACAACACGTGAAGCCACGGGGACAATGCAGGGGGGACAATTCCGGGGCTGGTCAGCCCAACACTGCCCCGGGACCGAGACTTCGGAACCGACCCCATTAGACCCATGAGTGTCCACTTACTCATTCCGGGTTTACACAGGGAAGCAGCGCCATAACTGCTAGACCCGCCGGGGGCTGGCGCTTCCTGCCACGCTGGCGCCACCCACCACGAGTAAAGACTCACCGCTGAGGATCTCGTTGTTGTTGCCCCAGAAGTCCGCCATCTTGGATGGTCTGTGGTAGAACTCATCCCTGTTGGAGGCCAGGATGAGCCTGAAGAAGAAAGCACGACTGAAACTCCCAAGTCAAAACAGGGAAGCCACACTCCTCTCTCGCTAGTTAACAAAGAAAATTTACCTCAGTAACAACATGGGCAAGTCCCAAAGAGAACAGGAACCCGCACCCTGACTACATGACCCAGACCTCTTCCGGCAACACAGACCAGCCAGTGCAAGTGGGGCTCCCACACTCAATTCTGCTGTGTGTGTGTGTGTGTCCCCGTCCTCTGTCAGCCCACAGGGATGTGCTGCTTGCCTGGACCCACTTGACTCCTCTGTCCTGCCCACACAGTCCATTTTAGTGGCTGAGTCTTAGTATTAGTATCTTATCTAATAATAGATAGACATGTAAATTGACCTACCTCCACCACACCTACCGGCCAATCAGGAACGATATGTAAATTAACCCAACAAAGATGGCAGTTAATTTGCATACACAGGCACCCAGCAACAGGAGGCAGGTGGGATTGCCTGCATCCTCGCCATGGCGATGATGCAGGCATTCCACCCCACCCCTGATCTCTCGGGGCCTCTGGGCAGCGTGGGAAGGCAGGAACAGAGCAGAAAGAGGCGGCTCCAGGGCTGGGCCGGAATGGCAAGGCGGTGCCAGCAGCCAGAGAAAGGAAGGCCCATTCTAGCACGAATCTTTATGCGTTGGGCTTCTAGTGCTTGTACAATTTGTACATCAGCTCCGGTATTTACAGCGGAGAGGTATTCCCTCCAGCACCCACGCTGAATGACCACTGTCTGAGAGGCACTGCCAGGCCTGTGCGGCTCACCCCAGGGCTGCCCTCTCCCTGCCTGGGCACAGCAGCAGCGGCATGCCTCTCCTGCTTGGGTCACCTACATGGGCACTGTGGACTGTGGGGCACCCAAGGCTGAGCAGATGATGGCAGACTCAGAGTGAGGGGTTACCTGTACGCATTTTTGGAAACAGGGCGAGGATCAAACTTAAAGAAGATGATGCACATGGGTCCCTGAGGGTGGCTTTGCTCACACGAAGTTACACAGTCTGTGGGAAAAGGGGGGGGGGAGGGGGGAGGACATGATTTGAGTAACCAGCAGACAACAGAACCACCGTCCCAAAGCTGCAATGGTCTTTGAACAGAACCAGCTCTGTACTGCCCCCGGCCTTCCCTAGACATGCCAGTCATGTGCCCAATGGCATGACACTCAGCAGCACTGCCCAGCCGTCTCCCTGCCGGCACCCCATGGGCAGGTGGATGGGCAGCAGGAGCTACAGCCACAGAAGAGACAAGGGAGGCCAAGGCCCAAGGCTGTCACCACGAACACAACCTCAGCTGAGAGCCTCTCTGAGGCAGCCTCGCTCCTGGGGCCTCCCTGTGGACAAAGCCAGGGTGTTCCCACCACTCCACTCACTTCTGCTCACTGGTCTGGCTGGGGGGAAGGTGGAAGTGAGGGGGGAGGGGGGCAAGAGTAGCGACTCCATTACTATCTCCACTGGTTCCCACGAGCCCTGGAGGGACCCCCAGGACTTGGCCCCCTGTTCCTCCTGGCCCCTTCAGGCGTAGGCAAAGGCGAGGGCCTCAGGGGAGCTACCGTTGCCCCCAGTAAAGCCTGTAGCTGGGCAGGTGAGGTGTCCCCATGGTGACGAGCAGAAGTGCAAAGTGCTAGGGGATGTACAGCCATAGGAGATGGGCTGCTGGCCACCAGCCTGAGCTGACAGGCGCAGGCTGCGTTCCACCCGTGGGCGCCCTGACCATCCCAATATTTGTGGACAGCCTGATGGAACCAACATTCTTGGTCAAAACTCAAAATGCTTGAGAGAATGCGAAAATATCTTCCCAAGCAGCCAAGAGCTAACTGGTCACATAGAATTTAGCCAATATCTTGGAGAACGGAGGAATCCAGAGATGGGAAAAACAGAGCTTGGGGTATTCCTTGCCCTGGGGCACTGACTCATCTGGGCAAACCTGGCTCTGGTGACCCTGGGAGGGAGGGCCAGCCAGAAGACAAAACCCAGGACCACCTCAGGACAAACCTCGTAGGAAACCCCCCAAGGGAAGCTGGAACCCTGAGAAGCAGCATTCAGAGGGCCAGGGTAGGCTGTACCCACAGCCGCCAAGGGTGGCAGGGGCGGCCTACAAGGGAGGAAGTCCTTGAGAAGCTCCGAGAGCCGAACCAGGGCCACACCATGGGTCCAGGAACCCTCAAGCCAAGACTCGGTTTGAGGAGTCCCACACTGGCAGTGCCCCTGGGCACCTAGCAAACCAGAGTTCTCATCTTCACCCCAGACCTCCAAGGAGTCTCCCAAATAATCTCTAGGACAAAGCAGTGCAGGGTCTGAAAGAACCGCATAGCAGAGCGAAGCACCAAGCACAAGAACCAGCAGAAGGAGACCCCCCCCTCCCACCACACACACACACACACACACACACACACACACACACACACGTCTCGTCAATAACCACACTCTGATTGCAGCAAAAAGGGAGTTTGGGAATACCCACAGAGAAAAAGGGGTTCACAAAGCACCAGATACAACTTTTCCAAGTGGGAGACATAGATAACGGCCAACTACAACTCGGCAATGGACTGAACAGCAGGTTAGACACAGCGTATGAGATGAGTCAGCGCAGAATCATCCAGAACATAGTGCGGGGAGACAGGAAGCATGCTGGGCCTCCCAGGACCCCAGGTGTCCCGCCCACCAGGCAGAGCTGGCAGGGTTTCCAGCAGTGCCAGCGGATCATGGTCCAACACAGAAGACACAGGTCTCCTCCCTCGCCCCAGAGGAGCTGGTCTCTCTCAGGCATCAGAATGCTCCAAGCAAGGCCGGCTGGTGGTGTCCCTGGCACCCAGGCTGCCCCAGTCAGCGGCAGGAGCCCTGCCAGTCCATCCCTGCTGAAATCCCACGGGTCCAGACACACACACACACACACACACACACACACACACACACACCGGGACAAAGGGCTGTTCTGAAGGCTGCTTCACTAAGGATGCGCTGCTGGAAACCAATCATTGTCTCACTAATAGAAAGAGGCTGGTCAGCCGTGAAGCTCTGAGAAGTCAGAGCCAAACACTCCCTATCTAATTGAGACCGACGGTAACTGAGGCAACGTCCCTATCTTGTAATCATGTAAATCCTTACTGATATGATAATCCACTTATTACCTGCCTGAGGGCTATGGGTGTTTCCCAAAGCTGCTTAAGGGTACTGGGTGTATCCCATAGCCTCAATAAAAGGGAGAGCAAGGCCAGAGCCTACTGGTAGTCTTCCCACTAGAGGTGGACTCCCCCCTGGCCCCCCATTTTTCCAAATTAACTCTTCCAGTCTCTTCATTTTAGAGCTCAGCCTTCTCCAGAAACAGGACCCTAGCGGGCCCTGAACCACGCGGGGCATCTTAAGAGATCCCACAATGCGCCACTCGGACTGTCATCATGTCTGCCTGGACCTACCGTGTCCCTCCCCACTGATGCTCATGGGCCATATAGAGACTCAGCTGTAGGACCCCATTGACCTAGCTGGCCCAAGTGAGTGGCAGGTCAGCCTCCCAGGTTGGCGCAGGGAGGGTTCTGTGGTCTCAGGAAAGGCCACCCATGGGTCTCCAGGCAGCCTTGTGCCAGAGGGGTGGGCACAGAGCCCAGGGCTGCAGCCTCGACGAAAACGCAGTCATTGGGAGGGAAGGACCAGAGGAAAGCCAGCTCCTGGGGAGGGGACCATCAGGAACTGCCTTTCTCTCCAATCCCTCGCCCCCCCCACTCGGCCAGGCCCGCTGCCCACAGGCCCCTCCCCTTCCTTGCTTCCCTTCCCACCTGCCGCTGGGGCGGACCCACACGTGTAGAGCAGGGCTAGCGCGACCCACATGCACGGGGAGTCCCTGGGTACACACCTCTGAAGGGCAGAACAAAAGGAAAACACCCTCTTCAGACTCAAGCCAAGAGCTTCCCATGCCATCTAAGCGGAAGTCTTCCCAGCTCACAGCGAGACGCCTCTGGCTTTGCCCTGGTCTCACCACCTGGTAATTCGGAAGCACGGGAAGGAGCGGGTCGCAGATTTGGCGCTGGTGCCGGCTACAGAGCACAGAAGCTTTCCAGGCAATCAGCCCATCTGCTGAGAGCGCTTTTGCGGGTTCTCCTGGCCTGCTGCGTCCTGCTGCTCACTCCCTGCCTCTGAATCACCCCCTCCAGCTGGCGCCTCCTTCCTCCTCTCCCGCCTCCAGGAGGACCAACAGGGCTGCTTCCAACAGCCAAGTGGAAACAGCCAGGTAAACTGCCTGACTCTGTCAGAAGGCTCAGGCTTCTCAATGAATCAAGCTTCAAACCTGACTCGGTGTGGCATCTCACAAGAGCACAGTGAGCAAATGACAGGCAGGCAGACAGGCCTGGCCAAGTCAGGCCAGAGTAACGTGCCAAGAGATGCAGCGATGACTGCACTGGCTCAGGCAAGGGCCACGGGGAACGTACCCTGGCAGCGGGATGGACCGGTCCACAGCCTGCTGACCAACCGTGAGGATCTGCTTCCCTGCTCCCCGACCCCCCACCCAGCACCGAGCACAGACAGGTGGGTGAAAGGCAAAGTGAGCCATCAACCTCATGGGGGCCACTGGGAGAGGAGGCAAGAGGGGCCGAAGGGCCACCGACAGGGCCCCGTTGTCACTGCCAGCCGGGGCGGGGGGGGGGGGGGGGGGAGAAGGACCCAGCAGGGGGACCGACAGACCTCAGCACTGCTGGGGGTGGTCCAATCCCTACCTGGCTGCCCGCCTCACCAGACAGGGTGGCTAACGGCAGAGCTCACTGCCTGCTGCCACCCACCCAGTGCCTACCAGCACCACCTCCTGCAGCGTTTGCACCAAGGGCCTCTCCCTTCCCCTTCCTCCCAGCACACCTGTCCTCTCACACACAAGGCAGGCTCATTGGTCCAGCCTCTCGGTACCCAAGCCCAAGGCTCCACACCTCCTGCTGACACAACCAGCAGCTCCTAGGGGGCCAGCGGGGTCTGTGGTTGTGGTTCCCCCTCCCAGGTCGCCCAGGCACACACTCTCTCATCTGGAAATTTTCCAACTATGCACAACCAGCAAGAGCCCCATCTCCAGTCAGCTGTGTGCGTTCACATCTTTCTCGGCCAAGTATGATGTACAGGGTTAGCTCACAAGTGGGATTTCATTGCCCATCTTCCCTGTGACTGGCTAGGCAGGAGGCTGGACAGGCACAGACCCAGCCCTGGCTCACAGTGCCTCAAAACAGGGACCACGCACAGCTGAGCCGTTGCAACGTCTGCACAACAACAGGCTGACACCAAAGTCACACCAGGTGTGGACGGGGCCAGAGGGGTGAAGGGGACCTGCTCCCTGATGGGGACCACTTCCCTTTATCAACTAAAAAGGCCAACAGGGCGTCTGGTCGGCGGGGAGATATAGGTCAGAATGTAGCAATGAACAGCAGGGACGCATGCCGGTGAATGACGAGGTATTTTTGCCACAACACAGAGCCAAGGGGGCGAGACACTCAGGAAAGTGAATCTCCCGGTTCACATCAAATCAGCATTAAAAAAAAAAGACCAGGCCCTAGCCAGTTTGGCTCAGTGGATACAGCATTGGCCTGAGGACTGAAGGGGCCCTCCTGGGTTTGATTCAGGTCAAGGGCACATGCCTGGGGTTGCAGGTTTGATCCCCAATAGTAGGGGATGTGCAGGAGGCAGCTGATCAATGATTCTCTCTCATCAGTGATGTTTCTATCTCTCTCCCTCTCCCTTCCTCTCTGAGATCAATAAAAATATTTCAAAAAATCAGTGACCTGCTCTAGCTGGTTTGGCCCAGTGGATACAGCATCAGTCTGCAGACTGAGGGGTCCCGGGTTGGGATTTCAGCCAAGAGCACATGCTCGGTCCCCAGTGGGAGGGCATGCAGAGGGCAGTCCATCGGTGAATCTCTCTCATCATTGATGCTTCTCTCTCTCTCTCCCTCTCCCTTCCTCTCTGAAGTCAATTAAAAAATATATATATTTTTTTATATTTATATATTTTTATATATATAATATATATACATATGTATTATATATATATATATATATATATATATATATATATATTTTTTTTTTTTTTTTAAGTCAGTGTCCTATCCATCTGCACATGCTAAGGCTCCAGACAGATTTTAACTGGTCCCTGGAGCCAGGTCCAATTTCATTACGCTGAGCATTTTACACATTTGGGAATACATGTTTAAGTCTCACCAGCCTGTCTCTCTGGTCTTGAGAAGCCGTGCAGAGGATAGGATCGCTCAGGCTTCACACATGATGGCTACAGGGCCAGGCACCTCCTCCCCGCCAGGTAACAGCTCCCTGGGGCAGAGCTGGAAAGCACTGGCTCGCTGCTCTTTTCACATGCACATGCCGCCCGAAGCCCTCCTAGCGGTTGCTAGCAGGCGAGGTAAACACACATGGGAACACAGTGTCGCTGTTCCCAGGCCTTGGCTGGGAAAGCCCTGACGTCTGTAAATATTCCAAGCGGCCGGCCCGCTGCAATGCTCCACCCTCCCCGCCACTCAGGGACGGAGCACTCCTGGATCCACACTTGGTGGTTTTGCCTGGGGGGTGGCATTTCACCGTGACAGATGTTCCGCAGTGACACTCTCTCCTAGGAGATCTGAGATGTTTTAGGAGCACTGACTCATTCCGCCTCACGCCACTCGCGGGTCAAAGAGCAGCACAGAGGAGGGACATCGGTGAGCTCTGAGGAACGCACCAGTCGTGAGGTGGCCCCTGCACCTTGGCCTCTCCTGCAGGAACACTCGCTTCCCCACAAGCCAGCCAGGCCTCCCAGTGGTTAGCACAGGAGGAAGGGGCCACCAACCCTTCAAAACAGGACGAAAGCAAGCATTTAAAGTTGGCCTGGTCCTGAAGACCTCAATAGATGAACCCAAGCAGAAGCAGTCACCAGGAGATGGGGCTCGGCTTTTTTACTTTTAAGTGTGCGTATATTATTTTGCCATCTAAAAAGAAAGTTGAGCCGAAACCGGTTTGGCTCAGTGGTAGCGCGTCGGTCTGCAGACTGAAGGATCCCAGGTTTGATTCCGGTCAGGGGCATGTACGTTAGTTGCGGGCACACCCCCGGTAGGGCATGTGCAGGAGGCAGCTGGTCGATGTTTCTCTCTCATCGACGTTTCTAACTCTCTATCTCTCTCCCTTCCTCTCTGTAAAAAAAAGCAATAAGATATATTAAAAATAAATAAATAAGTAAAAATAAAATATTTTTAAAAATAAAAATATAAAAAAAAATAAAAAGAAAGTTGAGCCCGGCTCAGTGGTTGAGTATCAACCTATGAACCAGGAGGTCACGGTTTGGTTCCCGGCCAAGGGCACGTGCCCGGGTTGGAGGCTTGATCCCCAGAGTGGAGCATGCAGGAGGCAGCTGATCAATGATTCTCTCTCGTCACTGATGTTTCTCTCTCTCTCTCCCTCTCCCGTCCTCTCTGAAATCAATAAACATATATTTAAATAAATAAATAAATAAATAAATAGAAAGTTGATGAGAGAAAGAGAAAAGCTGCATTGATAATATGAAAGGGCAGCTCAGTAATTCTGGGGTGACCTATTTTCATAGAACCCATCATCAAACCCATGGTCCAGACCAACCAACACCAGGAACTGCCGTGCTGTCCTCACGTGCAGACTGAAATGTTAGCAGAGGATGGGCTCTGTTCTGGAACCGGAGTATCAGTGTCAGCATAGCCCCACTTCTAGAAGCCTCCAGTTTCCCTGCCTCGGGGCTGTTTCTCTCCAGACAGGCCCTGGGGTCCCCTCATCTGTTCACAGAGGACCTCAGCGGCACCAGCGGCAGTGCCCTCGGAGAGCTTGCCCTTTCCTACAGAGGCCAGGTCCGAGAACACGGAACAAACAACCAAAATGACAGTCATCAAAAGAAAACACAAAAGAAGCTCAGGGGCTGGGCCGCCAAACAGAGGGGCTGGCCTGTTGCCTTCATTCAGGGAAGGACTGTCATCACCACAAGTTGGAGCAGGCAGTGGCCTGCAGTCTGTGGACACATAAGAACATGAAGCTGCAGGACTGAGGTAAACAGTCAGGGCCCTGGGGGTGGGAGCCCCAGAGCAAACCACCCTGTCCCCCGGGAATGCGGGGGTCCTGGAGAAGAGCGTTGGAGTGGGATAGAGACCTCTGTTCACCTGCCTACACAGCACAGCCATCCTCTCCAGTTGTCACCTGACAGGTCACGTGATGCAGGAAGGCTCCTGGGAGAGAGACCCAGAAAGAGAAGCGGCACTAGGAGCCAGCCCTGACTCTATGTGACCTTGGGAGCACCATTTGCCTCTCAGCCTGAGGTTTCTTCATTGTGGTCAATGAACACTTGCCCCAGAAGATAGCCCAGAGGACCATCAGACAAGTGTGAGAAAGCACTGCCAAAGCACTACCAGCTGGAGGCACCTCTTACAGCTGCCACCGCATCACGTCTGCCTCACAGAAGAGGGTGCGGAGCCCAAACAGCAGCAGCAAAACAGTGGTCAGCTGGTCTGGAGCAGGACAAGCCAGGCCTGTACCTGAGGCTCTGGGACCTGTCCAAGGGCAGAAGGCTCCCTCTAGCTGTGGCCCAGCAGGCAGCCAGGAGGCATGGAAGGTGTCAGGGTGGGAAAAGGGGTCTCAAACGCTAGCAAAGGGGCCAGGCCTCACCCTGGGCGCACGCAGCTCTACCCAGCTCTCAACCCTGATGACCTGGGGGAGGGTCTGACCACCAGAGCCACCCCAGAAAGGCCTTGCCCAGGCGAAAGGATAACCCAGCATTTGCTGCCTGCTCAGACATGCATCAGCTGTCACCCCGCTGGCCCCGCTGGACGCCAGGAGGCAGCAGCGTGACTCAGGGCTCCGTAGCTGACCGACACCATGACCACGCAACTCCCAGCACGGACAGTCTCTCTTCGCTGCAGCGAGACCAGCCCTGCTGCCAGCAGCCCCCCGCATCCCATCCTGGCGGGGATCCCTAGAGAAAATGCCTTTCAATTACGCGCGGGGCCCTCCGTCAGCCTGGGTTGGTTTGGTCTCCCCGGAGCTGCCCGCTGGATTTCTTACTCCACGCCTCAGGAAGGGGAAACTGAAGCAGGCAAGGCAGGGAGGTGCGACCCCGCCCCTCTGCACCCGAGCGTCCCGAGCCCAGCGCCCGGAGCCCAGGCCCGCCCCCCGGGGAGCTGAGTCCGCCAGCCCAGGCAGCCAGCCGCGCACTCACCGCCTCCGCCGCCGCCGACTTCCGGGTGTCCTGCCCGCGCGCCGCCGCCGCCACCGCCCAGGTTCCGCCTCTGACACCATTTGCGCGCTCTTCATTGGGTCGTCTGGTGAGGGGCGGGGAAGTGCGCTACATCCCCGGGTACGATTGGCTAGCTGCGCTGTCGCTCCGGGACTGCAGCCTCCCGGCGCCCCGCCCCCAGGGCTGCGCCAAGCCTCAGGGCTGCGCGGCGGCGGCATCTGCGGATCCGTGGTCTGCAAGGACCTCCCAGCCTTCTGCGCGTCCCGATCCTGGGGACGCCCCGCGGGAGTTCGCAGCTGCTTGCAGCCGCCCCCGAGCTCACGCCCGCGAGGGGCCCGTGGGGCCGCAGCCTGAGCTCCAGAAGCTTAAGGTCAACCTGTCCACCCGAAGGCTCGCTGGAAGCACTGCAGGGATGCTCACTTCCGGACCCGCCCCTCAGGTCGGGGTCCTTGTCCTCCTCTTCCCCATCCCCACCCACAGGTCCATCCTTTGTGGGCCTCTGGACCTGGCCATCCTCTTCTCTGTAATCCTGATACCCTGACATTCCTGACAGACCCTGGACTAGGCATCCTAGCCCCTTCCAGCCACCATAGCCTACGAGCCCACCCTGGAGGCTGTTCTGCAGGTCCAGATCCCAAGGATGAAGGGCTAGCCAGGCCTGATCTGTACTAGGTGAGCCAGTGAGCTCTATCCACTGAGTCAAACCGGTTTCAGCACACCCCACTTTTTTGCCATCTCATTTATGTTCCCCCTGGAACCCTGCAAAAGCCCTTGGCAGACACGGGAACTGAGGACTTCAGATGCCTAAGGACATAGTCTTCCTTCCTGTTCTGTCACTCCTGACTCCAGTCTGGATGACGTTTGGTGTTAGGGAGCAGGCAAGACCAATGAGATGGGTCAAGGCGGACATCTGAGCCCTGAAGTCTCAGGGCTGCAAGGGGGCTCACTACCATCCCACTTCTAATTGCACACGTCCCTGGACAGGGAGCTCACTACCTTATGTGGACATGCTTTTGGTGTCTGAACATCTGCATCTGCTGGAAAGCTCTTCCTGACATCTATCCTCCATGTAGTTTTCCTCACGTGCCCCCGGGTGTCATTCAGAGCTGGCCAGTGGCTGAGAAGAAAGAGTGGGAGAGAGGAGACTTGTGGCACGTGATCTCTGCCCTGTGGCAGTGAACGCCTGGTAGAGTCCATCTCTCCTGCTCTCTGACTTTCCGGCCTCCACCCGCAGCTTGGGTCATGGTGGGCCCACTACTGGATAGTGGCCAAATCCTCTTGGAACTGTGGGTGCCCACCCTGATCCTCTGTATGTGCTGGTGATCTAGTTCAGGGGCAGATGGGTCTTTGCAACCCTGTCGAGAATTAAGGGGGGGCCCTAGCTGGTTTGGCTCAGTGGATAGAGCGGCGGCCTGTGGACCGAAGGGACCCAGGTTCAATTCCAGTCAAGGACATGTACCTTGGTTGCAGGCACATCCCCAGTAGGGAGTGTGCAGGAGGCAGCTGGTCGGTGTTTCTCTCTCATCGCTGTTTCTAGCTCTCTATCCCTCTTCCTTCCTCTCTGTAAAAAATCAATAAAATATATTTTTTTAAAAAAAAGAATTAAGGGGGAGGGAGGTGACTGCTTGGGCTGTAAGATCACTGTAAGGAGAGGGGATCCAGAAGGACCAGGGCCCGAGGCCCTTGGTAAGACCTATAGTGAATGTTGGACTAATTAAATCAACTTCTAAATGCCCCAGCCTACGTGGCGAGCAGGCCAGAATGTCACTGATTATGTGGCTCCGAGGGAGAAGAGCTATCTTCCTAAACAAGGCCTTTGTGTTCCAAAAGGGACACCATCCTGCCCGCCCAGAGCTTTGAGCAACATCCTTGTGCCAGGATGCCAAATGGCTGTCCCCTTGAAAAGGGTTAGCTAGCCAGCTTAATTAGGCAGACAAGAAGGGCGGGTGTCCAGGGAGGGTGGAGGCATTTCTGGCCTGAGCAATTAAAACAGCCATAAGGGAGATCAAAAGCAACCCTGACCTGAACAGATAAGATGAATACGTGAAGGGCACCACGTGGGCTTTGAGCTTTGAAACGAATACTCTATAGCAGAATGACCAATGAGGAAAGTATGGCGGTCCTAAATTAAGGAAAGGTCTAATTAGGAAGGTCATGTTTAGACAACTATAGCCTTTATAAACTCTACTGCGTCTCCTTCGCCGCTGTACAAGGAGACTCAGTAGATATAGATTTTAGGTTTTTGAATTTATATTTTTCGAGAGAAAGAGAGAGAGAGCGAGAGAGAGAGAGAGAGAGAGAGAGAGGAGAGCAGGCTTTTCTCATTTAGGGGCCCCTCCCCAGGGGGAACCCTTTGGGGACACTCCTGCCCAGATAGAGTTTGCATATGCTTCCAATAAGCTTCTACGTTTTTATTAAAGAAGCCTCTTTGTCTGCAGTTTCATTCTTCAAATTTCATGGGGCAAGGACCCACGGGAGAAGACTCTGCACCCTGAACCCCACATTTCACCCTTAAGTTCCAACTCCTGTTGATTGGTGGTGGCTGCATGGCTCTGAAAGGCTGCTGGGATCAAGTTGCCTTATATGCCAAGGCGCATGGGGACCCAATGGTGGCACCAGTGGCGAGTTCTAACCTCAAGACAGTTCCCTGTCTTTGTTCTGACTAAGAAACTATTGGGTGGCCAAAAACCGGTTTGGCTCAGTGGATAGAGCATCGGCCTGCCGACTAAAGGGTCCCGGGTTCGATTCCGGTCAAGGGCATGTACCTTGGTTGCGGGCACATCCCCAGTGGGGGGTGTGCAGGAGGCAGCTGATGGATGTTTCTCTCACATCGATGTTTCTAACTCTATCTCTCTCCCTTCTTCTCTGTAAAAAAATCAATAAAATATATTAAATAAAAAAATAAACTATTGGGTGAACACTCTGGCCTCTGACATGGGTGGATAAGACATGGATGTCTGGTCCCTCCATTAGCAGTGTTTTGGGCAGTGTAGCTCCCTGGGTGGCCACAGGGAATATGGTGAGGTGAGGATCTAGCTGGCCATCATCTCCAGGTGCAACCAGGACTGGAAAGGCTTAGAACCAAGAACCAGTTTTCTGAAACAACCCCCCATGGGCAGCATTCCCATGGGTGCCTCCCACACCACAAAGTTAACTGGAGTTGGCCTAGGGTTAGAGTCCCATTCATGGTCACATGTGCACCCTGTGTCACTGCAGGGACCTGGTGGCTGCTCTCCACTTGGCAGGGAAATACAACCTTTGCTAAACTCAACCCAGGTGGCAGGACCCCACAGGGTTCCTCTGTGCACCCAGGGGAGGGTGGAGGAAGTGGAATACCAGGAAAGGGGAGTAATAAAGGCACACATTCCTGTGGCGATGGGAGGAGGGATGTGATAAAGGGTAGTCCCGAGGAGTGCCGTAAGGTGGGCTGAGCCCACTGTGTCTGAAGATTCAGGCCTGATCGTAGAAGAAAACCCCTTAAAAAAAAAACAAAAAACAACAAGCCAGAACCAGTATGGCTCAGCGGATAGAGCTTGGGCCTGCGGACTGAAAGGTCCCGGGTTCAATTCCCGTCAAGGGCATGTACCTGGGTTGCGGGCACATCCTCAGTGGGGGGGTGTGCAGGAGGCAGTTGATCGATGTTCCGCTCTCATCGATGTTTCTAGCTCTCTATCCTTCCTTCCTTCCTCTCTGGAAACCTTGCAGGACATCACCCAGGACAGCCCCTCTGAGCCTGCTCCCTGCCTTGGCTGTGGGAACCCTGGGGAGATGAAGTGGGTGTGTGTGTGTGTGGGGGGGAGCTTCCAGGGCCCAGGTATCAGACGGACTGAGTTCGAGCCGTGGTGGCCTATAGCAAGTGAGAACTTTCCTGCGTCTGGTTCCCAACCTGCAAACGGGGATGGCAGCAGAACTCTCCCTCGTGGGTTGTGGGAGGGACACCATTCCATGTGGACAGGAGAAGCGCTGGGCAAACAGCAGGTGCCAGTGAAGAATACCTACGAAGTGGGGGTGGTGATGTCCGGAATCAGGGGAGGGGGCCTTAGACCTTCCAGCTCCTGTTCGGGGCCCGGACGGTCCGGGGACGTCCCCGAAGGAGGGAGAGAGGGAACCGCCTCGCGGCCCCGACCGCCCACCGCAGCCGCGGTCCAGGCAGGTGCAGGTGTCCGGCCTTCGCCGCTCTACAAGGGGACCGGTATCGGCCGGGACGGACGTTAAGATGGCCCAATGGCAAGCCGGCGTCTTCCCG